ATTCCTGACAACTTCGGTAAACATTGTACTTTGTGCCGAACATACTCGCACATGATACAAAGTTTCTGACGATTTAATTTATTTAAGTAGATAGCAATAAAAACTCTCTCATGTAGACGAATGTCGCAAAGCCTTTTGAAACGACACAATGTTATTGTCACAACCTTTTGTTCAGTCACTGTAACTAAAAATGTTAGGCAACTAGGTAATTGATTAGTCCATATTTATAGAGAATCGTTCAAACTGAAACCCTCCCACACATTGATTCCACAAATCAATAAGGCATAACTTTCTTCGTATTTATCAGAAAGTAAAGCAAGTTTCCCATCTACTTGTGTTCAAAATGACGGGAATGTAAAATTAGGAGAGAAAAACATAAATATTCAGCACGACTATATAAATAAAAGAAGTTTGGGCCATTTATTCCGATACACCGGGACTTGGTGCAGAGACTGGAAAAGTTAGGCGGAAACGGGATTTCCTAATGCGATTTTAATTCGTTCTTTCCGCGACGAAGAGGGTAATTTCAATAAAAGCAAAGTCAGTAGATATTTTGTCCCTCAAGAGAAAAATTGGGGGAAAAGGGACGTGTGAATTCTAATTTGGAAATTTGGAAGTTGCGACGGAAAGTGCTATTCGGTGTCAGTGTTTTAGGCGATTAATTGTTGATAGAATGCCCGATAACTATTTTCCGGACTGGGGCTATTTCAGGTGTAATGAATTCGTCTCAACTTTGAAAGCATTTTAACTCGTGGACATTATTAGACTGGTGTTTTACGTTATAGATTACTTTATTCCTTGAGCTTCCGAAGTTAGCTTTGTACTAAACATTCCAACTAAACATTAAGCTGCAATACATTTGAGTAGCCCCGCCACGCTATTACTCGTAGTTGGTTAATATTTACATTTAATGAAGTACTTTCATAATTACCTTAAGCAACGACAAGCCATACATTTTAAATATGCATCTAATTTGTTAACGTTTTAGTAGCATGTAACAAAAAGCTCTAAATTGGCTTGTCGAGTAGAAACAATGTGCTTAATAACAGGTATTAAACATAATGCGATGTAGCCAGCTCAAACACGAATTAGGCGATTTGTTTACGTTCGCTTCGGCCCCATAGCGTGATCATCTACACTACCACAGGGCCGTAGTAGGTAGAGTTAAGGGGCCCCGGAGCAGTGGCCTACAGAGACAATAAAGTGCGGGTGCTCCGTTGCGCATGTAACGCATACACAGTAATACCTAATGTGAAGCTTAAAAGTAGTTGGTTTGGCTGATAGAGTTAGTTTCCACTCCCTTTAACGTAGTTTCCTAATTAACATATTTTTGTCAGTGTTATGAAACGAACGAAAATAATACGAAGTAAGGGAAAATTTTCTTCTGGATTATTGTCAAGATTCAGAATCCACCGTACAGGTTTATCGAATCTATTATACTAACTACTACTATATACCCTAAACCCGTAAAAGCTATTACCTATTATACAAAATCCCGAAAACAAGAAAAAGTGGGCTTCAATGCAAGTTTGATTTACCATACTGCCATCCCAGTTAGAACAGAAAAGCATGACAATGTGTCTATGAATAAGAATCAGACAATTTTTCTCTTAAAATACAATTTTGTTACCAATACGGCCCTGTGAACATAGGTTCGAACTACGAGCAAGTTTTTCTTCTCACATTTCCTATGCCTGTACGTTCATGAAGTCATTAGGTACAGGCATTGATTACTCGATGAAACTTAGGCTCTATTTCGCAATTTATAAACATATTTAGGTGCTTTGCTTTCGTTTTACCTGTGGTATTTTACCTACTTACCTAACCTAACGTATTTACGCCAAGAGCTAGAATTTATTTTATGTGCAGCTCGAAATGAATCAATAATAATTTTCTTTTTTTTTACAACTGACTAGTTAAATACAATCCGAAGTTGTTTAAAAAAATATTTATATTAGAGACCCTTTTAATGGCATCTGTTGACAGCTCAAATATTTTTTTCTTACTAACATTTCAGTACAAAATATCTCGACTGAAGCCGAGAAGTGGTCAAAAATCTCAGATTTTATGAAATTATTCTCGATTTTCCAAGACTAAGATTACCAAAATCTATACTAATCAGAAAACGTTTATATCCCTCCTAAGTAAGTAGCTCTATCTCAATCAAATTAAGAATGTTTACTTGTCATCATTGTTTACGATTAGAAAACAAGTTTACGCTTATTAAAATAAAGAAATAAAATATTTATCGAAATATTTTCTTAACGTCTATATTATTATATATTTATGTCAGAAAATAATATAACCTATTTAAGAATTCCTTAGAAAAAATCAAAGTCGATCTAACGAAGACGCGCTAAGAGAAACCTTCGTTATCCCCCGGAACCATTTGCCGCGTAAAGACGTACACCAAACAAACCTTTGTGAAAGCCTTGAGGTTTTCTTTGCTTCTTTTTACACATTTTCATACGGAAATTAACGCAGAACAATAAACAACTTCAGCTAACCTTTATAATTCGTCGGTGCGCATTTCAAACCTGATATTTAAATTTTTTAGATGTCACTAGTTTTCAAAGGTCGATCGATTTTTCTTACCCTTATAAAGTTGTCATTTTACACATAACAGACTGGGCAGGCGCACTGATTATGTTATATTTACATTTTATTCAGTTGAAACGAGTGGGTAGGTATATTTACAGTTTCAAACTTAAAGGTCTACCCAAAATGTTTGGCCTTGTGTGGCAATATACGCTTTAATTTCATGATGAAGGCCCATCTGGATCATAAAACCTTTTTTGTTCTATACCTACATATATTTTCTCTCTTATCCCGCCTACCAAACCCAGTTTAGCTTGCAATATTAATTTCAAAGCTATATTAACTTTTCACCCAATTTCAGGCCATTAATTAAAAAAAACAGTAGGTACTCGTATCATGTGCATTTTTATAAATGACTTTTCTTTATTGCAAATAGGATATCAGCAACATACATCCATTATATCGTATTCTACTTTACCTATAGAAGATATTTGAAGGTACACTTTTTAGTTATTTTCACTGAAAAACTACGTTTATGACAGTGCTTGTATAATTATCCATACACAGAGGTAATTAGCGTTGACATAGTGTAATCCTAACACTAGTTCTCTCATTACTGTGCGGATTATATTTTCCTTTCAAATCCAACTCCAAGTCCAACGCCAAAACCAGACTTTATGAACTTTCTAAATAAACGCGATTTGAAAACCTTACACCCTTAAAATAACGTAATCATCTCCAAAACCTGGTTGTAGAATCACAGTAGGTAGAAAAGACAGCAGCAATATTTATTCCTAACGTTACTATCTGATTCTAATAAGAATTTTTAACTGCGTTATGTAGTTTTAATAAGTGTGTTTTTGTAACAATTTCCAATGTGCTGGCAACGTTCATAAATAAGTAGGTACTAACTTCATTCTACAAAAAATATTCAACTCAAATAATAGTCCTCCGTCACGCAGATACTAATGAAAAGTTTTAAATGCGCATTAAGCGAGGATATCAATAACAAACGAAAAGCAATGAGTACTCATTCACTGAACTGAACAGTCCCTAAAACGCTCGTTAAGCTAATTTAGATTTTTTGGAAATCCGCTTCTCAACGACTTTATAGAATGATCCGAAAAACGGTAAAAATTATTATCGATGCAATTAAACTTTCGCTACAAAAAACTGTTATTTTTTACTGCTTACAAAACAAAAGAGTATTATAAAATAAGTATAATAAAACATCAGCACTCTGAAGAACAGAAAATATTGTTCATTTATCCCATAGTAAAATGTAACGTGATTTTCGTAAAAAATATTTTGGGGCGATATTGAAAACATTTAAGTTTCATTTACACTCTCCATTTATTTGAAATAAGTGGGTACTTACCTACATTTTTTTCCAATAAATGCTGTTACATTGTCTAAATAAAAGAATAATAATTAAACAGAATGGTATATTTTAGAACTCATGTACGAGAAAATGTTAAAGTTCTCTCTTTGTGATGGATAATTTTTCAATCCTTTACCAGACATTACCATCACATTCTAAGAACATACTAAGTATAAATATTTTGATTTAAAAACACTCGGAAGTAATGTACCTACTTTAAACAGGAAACTGTGTAAAACAGAACTTTTTCAAGCTTCCATGCACTCGTGGTTAGGTAACTACTTCATCTAGATTCTAGAAATTAGTAATAACTTCATAAGCAAACCACATCACACATGGACGGCTTTGTTAGTTTGGCAAGGTAAACACATTTGTTTGCTCGCAAGCATATTTAATAATGCGGTATTGGGTGCATCCGATGTTGACAAGAAGCAACTCTATTATAACAACGGGACTCATCAATTTGTAACGAGTACACGCTATTTATCTTTAATATGGATGATTTTGCGGGATGAAATATTTAAATGAGGATACACTGTTTACTCTCCAATTGTTTGTACAATAATAACTTTGAAATTTACTCCCGAATGACTTTATTACTGGAACATATTCGACCCAGGCTGTTTCGCGTAAAGTTGGCAGTAGTTACAACTTTTAGGTATCTATGTATGGAAATAAGGAACCTGTTGGATTAGGGAGTGAGCCGATAACAAAATGCGAATTTCTTATCAAGCTGAGTAAATTAAATTCTTCGCGTGTCCGAAGTAAATTATGTTAAACGACGTTCGTATTAACGAAGATTACTTAAAAGATAATCAAAGCTTCGTTATTGCGGTATTCGCACAAGGTCTGGAAAACCCAATAACATTATTGCAATCCTGAATTTTTATTCAATTTTAAGTATATTACTTAACGGATGAAGATACTTTTATTTTAGTGTTTCCCATTTCAGTTGTCGTACTTATGACTTATTCAGCAGTTTCCTAGTGCCTATTTAACCTTGTCTCTATTACATAAGTATTATCTACCTTCTACGAGTATAACATTCCATTCCCAATTCAACTATTCTAATTAGACTTACCTCGACACATCAGCATTATTGCAATCAGCGAAATACGGGAGAGTATCGCCGTCGCCATCTTGTGGGGTGGTGTTCACAGCGTCGGAGAACTCGAGCGAACCTGGCCCGGCCCGCTGCCGTGTCTGCAGCTCATGGTAGGCAGCAACCTGTGGCCAAGGGGAAAAAAATTTTACAAGAAAAACCATTGGAGTGATTACGTTTAATTACAAAAACGCTAAAGACAAGCAAGCTCAGACATCCCCACATAATGAGTTTTTTAACTTAAAGCTACCTATAAGCACACAGAACCGTTCGAGTGCATACGCTGCGGGCACTATTTAACTTAAAGATATGGCATGATAAGAATTGAGTTATTAAATTTTTCGTTTCTTTTTAGTTCAGAAAACGTGTGGTTTTTGTCTTTACTCAATTACTCGTAGTTTACTTAATTAAATGTTCACTCAATAAGTTTCTCTGAAGTCCCTAATTCTTTTAACATAACGTTGAAACATTTTTAGTATTAAAATAGTACAATGATCCTGAAAATGTTACACTAAAAATATTTTATTGGTTGAGTCCGCAACAAATGCTGTGAGGTACTATTTTCTTAGCTATATCAATTCTTCGACAGCCATTTGCCTACTGGCAACCTAGACCTTCACTAAGGAACAGAATAACATAATGTTAAGATAAAACCAGCATCATTCTCTTCGCTCGCTGCCTCGCCCATTCGCTAAGTTTCGGCCTCGTATCTCCTTCCTCTCAGGACCTCCTTTGCGAGCTACTGGCTCGTTTTAATTACTCTCTAGAGTCCAACAAAGTCGGACCACCGTTATGAGGGGTGCTTCGGTTCGGTTCTGGGTGGTAGTCCTGACCTAAATTAACTGGTGGATCTATTAATCCGGTCCACAATATCTTCTTATTACCAATAATAGACGACCTTTCAAAAGACTAGATAGAATGAAAGAAGGTCTAGTATTCATTATATCTAAAAAATATTATGAGCCACTTAATTTCATAGGAATAAAATGAATGAAAGCACTGACGACCGTCTGCCTCCCACATAATCGCCTTTTGTAACTCGAAAGGTATAAATAGCAGCTTATTCTATTTTTGTTAAGAAATGTTCAGTTATTGTAATTTACTTTTCACGATACGGAAAAAGCAACTTTATTAAGTTACTATGGTCACCTGCATCTCTTAATTTACTTATCCGCCATTTAAGAGTCATCATTGCGGGTCAAAGCTCTGTTTTATTTTGAATCCAATGATGTCTATTGTCTATTCTGGTCGACCGTGCCACAGTGAAAGATAATAGTAAAACATCTTTAAACTATATTCCTTAATTTTAGTCTACGAAACGCATGTACTACAATCACATGGTATTTCACTTTATGCCTGGCCGGTTTGTCCAGAGAGAATTCGTAGTGATGTAACGGATGCGTACACGCGCGCTCATGACTTCACAGTCATGTTTGACAGACGGTTTTTATGCAGTTTAGGTTAGTGTCCGTGACTTCCACTCGGCATGGTGCACACTCAAAATCTGCGGGCCTTCGTCGCCGTGGGCTGAGTGAGGTCTCATTGCGATGGGCATCGCTGTTGCGACAGGGTGGCACTGCTCAGTTCACTTTTTATTATTTTCTTGTAATCTTAATGTGCTCTTTTTTCCGTATACCGTCTATGTCCTTAACTAGTAAGTGATGTTCATCGGTATAAATATTTCTTTCTTTGTTTCTTTTCTTTATTTCTTATCTTTCTTTCTTTTACTATTCCCTTTCACTGTGGCCTTAGGCTGTGCCCTCATCCCTGACTGTCATTGTTTGCGGATCCCGGCGCACGTACCATTCCCGGCACAGACAACACTAATCGGATAATCGATCAGTTAGGCCCGGATTTGCTCTGCACTACGTCCGCAGTTTACAGAACAAACCGACGTCAAATATTATATGAAAACGTTACTTGGAATGTCAAAAGAGCAGTTACTAGTAGGTAGTACTCGATTCGTTTTGAAGCGTAGTCAATAGAAATCTGAACAAAGGTTAAGCTTTTAAGCATCTATTTCAAATGACGACCCTAATTGGGTAGTACTGATTACCTAACCTACCCAGCATATTAACATTGCAACTCAAAAAAAAACTATTACTTATATGAGAAGAATTACAAGAATTTTAACTACATACCTAGTTACTTGAATGTTTGACAAAAGTTTTCTAATTAGAAATCTACTAATAAGATTATTGTCAATCAACATAATGCTAGGAAAATAACTATAAACTAGACAATTAACTGTTGAGAGGCCTTTATTACCCCTGAATCAGACTTTGGAGATACACTGAATTTTAATATAAGAACTAGAGAGAGATGATCCGCGAGATTTGCTTGTAAAACGAATTTATTTTCACATGAACGGGGTAAAAATGACGACCCTCCGCACACAGCTGTACCTCTACAATACGGGCATAGTCAAAAAAATCTACAGGAGAGCTCTTAATTGGGCTTTTTAAACATTAATCAAGTGTTACGTCGGGGGGAGAATTTTTATGTCGGCCGAGACGGGCGATAGGCGTGACGGATGACGCGCGGCCGCGGGTCGCGGGCTCTCTGCATCCATCAGAACCAGCTCACCTCGATCCAGCTGCACTCGGCAGGAATCTGACGATCGAGAATTCCATTTTTGAATGTCAGAGATTCCATATTTTCTTCTTCTCGGCACTTGCCAAATGTTTGTCTCGAAGCGCTTGTAGGATAAATAAAGAATGAGCTATGTATAGGCTCCTTAAGAGCATATGACGATTTGTAAGTACAATACGAGTAACAAAAATACAGAACTACACTAAAGTTATCTATCTATACTTATAATAAATCTGTAGAGAGGTCAATTCTGTACATGAAATATATTTTCAAAATAACTATCAGGGGGTGATTAGTGATCGATACTGATGCCAAAAATGCAATCAGTAAATTTTTTGTCTGTCTGTCTGTCTGTATGTTCCTTATAGAAACAGAAACTACTCGACGGATTTTAACGAAACTTGGTACAATTATTCTTCATACTCCTGGGCAGGTTATAGTATACCTAGGAATTGCCACGGAAACGGGAATTAGCGGGAAAATCCTTTTGTATGAAAAATCTAAACCGCTTAAGTTAGACGCTTGAAATTTGGCATGCAAGTACTTTAGTAAACTTAAAGCTTAGTTACAACAGGATATTGCAAAATTCCCACGGGAACGGGAGTTAGCGGGAAAAAATATTTGTATGAAAAATCTAAACCGCTTAAGTTAGACGCTTGAAATTTGGCATGCAGATACCTTAGTAAACTTAAAGCTTAGTTACAACAGGATATTGCAAAATTCCCACGGGAACGGGAGTTAGCGGGAATAAACATTTGTTTGAAAAAATCTAAACCACGTAAGATGAAGGGGGTAAAACGGGATCCACGCATATGAAGTCGCGGGCGGCTGCTAGTTCTTAATAAGTAGATAATGTGCATTGTTAAAGGTAATAAATTGAATAGGTAATGTTTTTAAACTACGAGTAGTAGTAGCTCTACCTATAATGTGTCATTTGTATGTTGAATAACAACCATTCGCCTCTATATTTCTTTAGCTTGCATTATTTGAGTTTAATGGAAGACAGTGAGTGACAAAGACCTTCCCGTGCAACCCTTAAGTCAGAAATAGATCTCATTGTGTTATGTATCAAAATTGTCAGCTGTTGGGTCAATAAAAATAAATCGTGCCACAATACTTTTGAGTTCGGGTGGTCTATTACAAAAAATGTGAGCCGACGCGGCGGGCGGGTGTAAAAATAAATAATAATAACAGGCGCGGCGCACGCGCAGCCAACGTTGCGGTTTGCTAAAGTAAACATTGCATCCGTGATGTGGCGACTTCCGACGATATCAGATGATACAAGCCACTCGTATTAAATCGCCCTTTGAGTTTCTGTTTGCTGTTCTTGTACCGTTTAATGAACTTGAAATGGCCATTGTTTTTGTGTTGCTCTCTTACTTATGTTAGAGCACGTAGAAGTAATTTAATCTATTCGGTTGCAGTACTTAAATACTAAAAGAGGCACAAAAATACTCCTGCACGAAATATTAAATCGACTCTACCTACCGACAATTAGGCCTGATTACAAAACGACATCCGAATACGATTATGAATCAGTGTGCTTACCATGAGTTTACGTTAGGTGTGCTCGCTAGCGAATACGTCAAAAAATTCTATGAAGATTTTATTTCTTGAAAGTAGCCACTAGGGGCGCTGCACAATATGTCATACATATAATGTCATTTTTTTTACGCAATCGCTAGCGAGCACACGTAATGTAAACTCATGGTAAGCACACAGGAACCATTAATCAATGATTTGTTTTTGAAATTCGAATTTATCCTAAGTAAATTATAAAATATAAAATTAGGGGAAGTAACATATTAGCTATCGTAAGGGGATATAAACCCTTGTGCCTCTGGCCAGTTAGGTCCTGCACAGTGTGCCAAAAGGCGCAAATACGGCAACACTCATTACGAGTGCATGCTTTTAACGATCATATCTTTTTTCTCATGGCTGCCGGTGACATACGAGGCACTTTTTCACCTCACCGTTTCGCATCACCGTGGAGCTTAAATGGCAAAACCAATTTTAATAAACGAGCTTCGTTATATCCCGTCGCAGTTGCCTGTGGAGGTAATAGCTATGTACCAACATAAAAGTCAAAATTATACCTACGAGTACAGTGACGAAGGGAAGCAATAGAATTATGCAGTTATGTAAATGTTCGTGGTATATGTACTGTGTACCTACATTTTTAAATTTTAATGGACTGAACTTTTGCGTTATCATATAGAGGTTACTTTGTTAGTTTGTTACAAATGACCTGTATTAAATTAATCCCTTCAAAGAAGGTTCACTCACATTTAGTCACCCAATGATACCTCGCACTAAATAACTAATGTACCTACCTAAATAGTATGCCTATACGTTCTCAGAATTTCAAAACAAGATCGGCTTATATTAGTAGCCTCAATTAACTTGATATCATGACATGGATTGATTACTTGACTCCATTACATCAGGAGTTCGTACCTGTTACCCTGGGACTTGTACCTCCAGCGTGAGACGTCACATTACTCTTCAATGTTACCCAACCTGTATTTATAAA